AGCTCGTGCAAGGTGAAATTATGCTAATTTCAATCACCATCATCCTTCTTTTTAATTTTGAAAAAAACATCTCATACGTCTTTCTTTTTCTTCGAAACTTCAAAATTAGTTTCCCCTCAGTTTTCACTGTTTACCTTGTTTTGTTTTAGTGAGAAAAACGGAGGAAAAACCTTACAACTAACCTCAATAAATTTTGTTTACATGCGGTTGCCGGATTTGCAACGCATTGCGCGAATCGCCATGGCGCGTTGCACCCGAGAAGCAAAGTTTGAAGAAGTACAACGCCACTATATCAATATATATCAATCTAATTTTTTGTTATGTTATACAAAATTTATCCCTCTTTAACATATGTAAAAATTGAGGTTAAGAAGTGTTAAGCTTTTGCAAACGAAACGGCCAAAGACGATTAGGTGATATTTAGTGGAAGGAGGAGGTATTCAACACTTTCGAATTAAACTCAAATTTTGGCATTATACGACCAACAAGTTTAACTTATAGACGTACAGACACAAACATATGAAACTGTTTATTGATAATATTATGAAACGAATTTATCTATTTAACATTGTACCCTGAAATTACAAAAAGAAAATAGGATTTCCGGTTCGCAAAAAGAAAAATTTCGCCGGCCTTCAAGCGCACCGGAAGCGCGGAAAGAGCGCTCGTGCCAGTCCTACTCCGCATCACACATTAAATGAAGAGCGGAGCGCTCGTTTCACCGCCCAACCTTTATCCGCCCTGTTAGGGATTTCACAAATTAAAGTACATGGAAGGGTAGGGAAATCTTTCATTTTGGTTGGCAAAAAGGCTCAAAAGGGCAAGCACATGCATTTCATGGCTGTGAAAAAGTCAAGAAAACGTTCTGGTTTTTTGATTTATTCAAATTTTAACCCTTTAAGCCCCAGTATCCACATATAAACTCTCCAAACTGATCTCCATACATTTCCTTGAAGAATGAGTTGAGAGAGTTTGTTAAAAGATCAAGACATTTTTGCTTGGGTGATCATTTTATTAATTCTCATAACTTATCTGTTGACAATGTATAGATATTGTTAGGAGAAAATTGATCTTGGTCACTATTGGGACTTAAAGGGTTAAAGACAGTGCATTTACAGCGGTTAGGTATGTGAAATGGGTACCATTTGTCAATAGGGTTCCTTTTCTGTCAAAAATGGTATATAAAAGGGTAAGGGGTTGGACCTAGGGGCAGAGCCTCCCAGTATAAAACTATTTGAGTACCTCCTCCCCCCCGCCGGGCAATGAACATGTGATAACCATGTTAGACTTGAAAAAGTGCTCTCTTAACCATTGAATTTTTAGTCACAGTATCCACATACCAATTCTCCTGACGGATCTTCATACATTTTCTAAAAGAATTAGTTGAGACAATTTGACCAAAAAAAAACAGAGCATTTTCCCTTTAGTGATTATTTTATCAGTACTCATAACTTTTTCCCTTGAGATATCTTAATATTGTTTGGAGAACATTGTTTGTGGTCTCACTTGGAACTTAAAGGGTTAAACTTTGCACTTGCTGATTTGTAGGTTTGTAAGGTTTGGGCATCAGAAGGATCATACAGTTTGTTTTCATCTTTGGATTTAAAAGAGTCAACATAATACCTGGTCAGCCAGAAAGAAAATCTTTGACATGGAGAAGTGTTTTCAGTTATTGTAAACATAATTAAATTTTACTTCCTACCCTGGGGATGGAGGATGGTACACATATGTTGTACTGAAAGATTTAGCAGTTGACAAAGCTGGGTACATTCATGTCAAGCTCACTAAAGCTTATTATTTATTACATATTAATGAAAAGTTTAAACACCACTGATTGTCTGTCAAGATTTACATTTAAAACAAAGATTACTGTACAAGTCTTCTAGCACGTTTGCTGCCAGTACATGTGTAACAAGAGAGAAAGGGTCCTCCAAACAGCTGGATGATTCTCCCTACCTCACAACATGGTGGCATTTAAGATATTACAAAAGGAATTTGGCGCTTTATCTTTATCAAAGGGTGTATTCCTTTGAGATGATCTAGATTGGGATCAGTGATCCGAGATCACTTGGATCATGGTGGATCAAATGAACCGATGAATCCACTCTGGAAAAGGATTCATCAGTTCATTTGATCTACCATGATCCGAGTGATCTCGGATCACTGATCCTGATCCGGATCATCCCAAAGGAATGCACCCAAAGAGACTGTTAATTTTTCACCCTTGCTTATGCAGCTTCTGCACTGACAGTTTTTGGTTGCTCTTTGCTATCATACTTCTCTGCTATATTTTGCTTTTTTTGTTGCTCTCGTAGCCACTGCCTGTAGTCGCTGACACTCTTGATATTTTCACCATAATAATCATCTTCAAACTTGCTATAAGAGGAAGCCCTCCTGGAAGCTATCCTTTCCAAAAAATCTGCCTCACGCTAAAACACACAAAACAGAGCAAGTGTAAACGCAAAAAATGCATTGACTACTTTAAGACTCAATCCCCACATACTGTACACATAGACCATTGCTGAGTTCCAAAAACTCTTACTTCCAAAATGAGCTCAGGCTAAGTGGAAAACTTTTCTTTGTGAAAATGAGTTTTATTTGCATGAGAATAAAAACTCATTTTCACATCAATGGCTTCACACTTAGCTTCACTTTGAAACAGAGGCTTGGGCAACTTAGAAATGGCCTTTTCTTGACAGTGATCTCCATTTTTACATATTTTCCTTACAGTATTAGTTGAAAGAATTTATCAAAACAGTTCCCCTTTTGCAATGCACATCATCAATTGGGTGACTAGAAAATCTTACTATTTATTTCATACAAATCATACGATATAGGCACCCTAGATTTTGCAGGTTCAGAGTACTGGAATCCTTTCAATTTTCGTTAGAGCACAGCCTTGGCATTAAAGTAATGATCCTGGTAACAAAGGAAGCAATTTTATTTTTTTTGTTATGGTGCAATATGCTTTTCTCAGTACAAATGTTTTCATTTTCACACAAAGAATGCATAATCCTAAAAAAAGGCAAAATTATGAATTAAGATGTATTTAAACTTCATTTTTGAAAGGTGTTTTTCTGTGTTAAAAGATTTCAACATATCATAAGAGTGGCAAACAATAGCCAAGAAAAGTTCACAAAGGATTTCTGTGTTACTTAGACTCAGACGAGATTTTGTTATAACGAAGTTGGTTGGAAAGCAAGGGATGAACATCCATGCTGCTTTGGGAAGATTTCATAAAATTTGATGCTAAAATCAGTCAGAAGTGTAGTAGAGACAATAGTAAAGTCAGCACCTTTTGGCATTCAGACATGCTCATTACGTCTGGACCATTACTTAACAGCGTGCAAAGAAAGTCATGTCCAGTAGCCCAGGGCTAGTGGATCTTGCTATCGAGCTAGTGATTTTTGTTCTTAACTTGCCCAACAGGCAAGAACTGTTTTTTGAGGAAATCAAACTACAGAAGGATTGTAACCAATCCTGCTAATCAAAAAGGATTTTGGGGCTGGATGAAATGCCTTGTGGGCTAGTACATGCTAGCTACAGCTTGCCCGAATGGCAGGCTGTAAAACTGACTGTCATTACACCCTGCTCAAGGATCAACACACTGTCCATACCTCATGCAGTTTCTGTGCTATTTCTTTGTTCCACACCCGCCACACTGATTTGAAAACAGCAGATCCAGCGACAAAGCCAACACCTGCACTAGCCACACCACAGAGACCACTGAAGATCATGGGATCCATTCCTCTAGAAAACCCAAACAATAATAAAAATTAAGGATATTCATCCTAATAAAAACATGGCTCTCCAGAAAATTTACAGTAGAAGGAGCGAAAATCACCTGTGGGCAGCAATAGTTACCTTATTGTACTCAATTTTGTGGGCACTTAATTTCACGATTTTAGAGAGACAGTATTTTGTGGGGTTTTATTTTCACGATTGGCTTGGCACAAGCTACTGGTGTACACGAGCGTAACACCGTGCCTTATGCAGGATTCGCACTCGAGAAAAGGCACAGTTTTTGTGCCAAAGCACGGGAAATAAACATGCAACGGCACAGATTAGGCACGTTTTAAATATTGCTAAGGCACATTTTAGGCACAGTTTGGGCACAGTTTTGGCACGGTTTAGGCACAAATATTTGACGTTGGGCACTTTTTTGAAAATCTTTGTAACCCGACTTGCAAAAAAGAACAAACTTGGTACAAATTAAAAAAATAATTCAGATCAAACATGATACAGTTAGAAGTATAGGAAGTGTAAGTTTTGAGCTGCGCCGAAAGTTGGGCAAATTAAAGTATTCTTTGACAGTCCGTGTTTACTCCGAACATAAAGTGGAAATTCACACGCGATATATGCGGTCTGAACCTTTTCGATTACCATGCAATTTTATAGACTGAGCTTTCTGTCATTTCTAAAAGAAATGGTGAAAGAAAGTTGAAGTTATGATAACAAAAGCAAAGCTAAAGAAGTAAGGCACAAAAATAGCCAATAAAAGTCGAATACTTTTTGTGATCGCGGTAGAATTGGCCTGAATTTGTATAACAACATGAAAAGTGGTAATTTGAAACCTTCATGCCAACGCGTGTTGTTTTTTAATACAAAATGCAGCTGCTTTTTAAAAATATTTCTCTAACAAAAAATGTACAATTTACTCTTAGTAGTAAAACAATTCAAGCCGCTTGTTTGTTTTTGTTCTCTGGCTCTGTTAGCAAATTAAGCTTTGATCGTATAATAATCGATGAGATGTGCCAATTTTGCTTCAAAACTCATCAGTGTGCAATCAATTTTTTCATTTTCATTTTATAAGTCATATCACGAGTAAATTCTTTTTTTGAATGCAAATCTGCCCTCCTGAGAAAACAAATATTTCGTTCCAACTAAACGCTCTGTTAAGAAGGGGAGAAGAAACCCACTTGGAAATTTTTTAACATCAGTGAAATACTTGAATCGATGAAATTATATCAAACATGTAATTGAGCTGAGCACTTATTTTAAATACGCTAACCTGTTTAAGATTCCAGTTTCCTGTTTGTCGGGGCTTTCCCTGGTGTCTCTGAGTCATGTTTATTCCGTAGGGGATAAAAAGGTCGTCAGACCATGTTTCTAGACTTCCTAAACCTTAAAACTGACATAATTGCCGTGCGCACTTTTCTTTCGCTGTAGAACTCGATAGGCTGGACACGATTTTCTGATTGACTCAATGTTTTGGCACAGCTTGTGCACAGATTAGGCACACTTTGGGCACAACTTAGGCACATTTTTCAAAACTAAAATGCACACTTAATGCACATCTTAGGCACTTTTTAGGTACAAAATCTTTGTGCCAAAGCACACTCTAGAATCCAATTTTCGGTCCAATGCACGGTTTACGAATTTTCACGTTAAAAACTGCTTTCTAACCTTAGATATTTGATCTTAGCATAAAAAAGGGGTTTCCAGAAGTCTTAACAGTTAGTCTACAAGGAAGGTTTAACTTATGAGCATTCCAAAAATTATTAGTTCTCCTCTTAACAACAAAAGAAAGTCAATCAAAAGCAATCTTTTGAATTGACGTTTCGTGCTGCACAAAGATCGGATGTTGACAGAAGATCTTTCTGAAAATGCATTAAACTTTTGCCATTATGTTCAGTAATTTTTCATACAGTTAGTACTCATAAGTCACTGACCTCTGTGGAGAAATTTTTCCAAAGTACCATTAACAGAAACAGAAAAATCCCACAACATGCGTGGTTAGACTGTAGATGTTGCGCGAGCTGTTAAAAAATGGTCCCAGTTTGAGCCATATTTTTCATATTTTAATTTTAGTTTGGTCTTACAGCCAGAAAAAAAATATTCAATGGAAGGCTGTTTATAAACTTTAACTTCTTGCCAAATATCGATGCGATCTGAGTTTTAATAAGTTCATAAGAGCCAAACGATGTGAGATTCTTAGCCGTGTACACCAGTAGCGTGCGCCAGGCCGATTTCAATGGGCAAATTTGATAAAAGGCATCAAATTTCACGATTCTTAATATTGATTATAACACAGATATGCATTTTCTCAGTACATAGTTCGCAGAAAAGTTTCTAAACATCGTCCTATCATTGCAAAATATCTACAAATGGATCTTCAGGTGACATTTCCTCTGAACCATCTATTACTTTACTGATGCCCACCTTCTTTCATCCTTTGGCAAATGATTTTCTCAGGGTAATTTGAATTTTCTATAGGGTTAATGAATTGGCCTGTTTAACTTTTGCAAGGATTTTTGTACTGGGTCTTTAATTTTGCAATTGTTGCAAAAAAAACACAAAATTAAAGACTTGCAAAATTAAGTACCAACATTAAAGGTAGATACAAAAATATCACTAAAAAGGGCACCTTTACAACTTGCAGGAAATGAGTCATGATCTTCAGATTATGAGTACAAATAAAATGTTTTTGCCCTCATTAGAAGCTTTGTGTCAAATTAATCAATCCCAATCATTCTTTGAGCATTGTTAGAATTTTTGCATTTGGTTTCGCAGCCAGTAGCCGGGTTTGTTTCACGGCAGTCCCGACTAACTTCCTTTATGGAATCTGTACTTGTAGGGGGTCACGAGGTCAATTTCCTTCACTTAAGATTGTTTCGAGTTGTTTATATGTTAATTTGATTTATTTGTTTCATTTATTTGCTCGACCTGAAAATTCTTTGTGCTATAAATACGATTCAGAAAAAATATTTCTCTGCTCATCCCACATTAAGAGATACAGGTCACACAACTTACAGTATTGGTTGGATCTGTTCTGGGGTTGCATCAAACATGTTTGGGAACAAATAAGCACACGCGCAAGACGACGCTAGTAGGCCTGTCACACCAAACGGCAGCCCAGCCAACCTTTGAAGTGTACGCAGCTTTCTTCTTCGCTTCTGGTACTCGTCGAAGGAAAGCTGAAATCTTTTCGGCGTCACCTTGTTCCCACTGAAGAGAGGACTTCGGGAAACAGTGGGAGACTTCTCGCTGTCAGTAACCTCCTCGACCGGAGAGTTTGTTTCCGAAAATTGACGGCTGGCGATTGCTACACATGGAACACTTGATCTGATTCCTGTCCGAACTAAGAGGAAAGTCTTTCTAGCGGTTATACTCCCAGTTAGAAAACTCCGAAAATTTAGCACTGTTCCGGCCGCCATCTTAAATATCGAGAATTACCCACAATGCAGTAGCTTTCAATAAAATACCGCTGTGATCTTGCAGGCGTATTTAACGTGTTTCGTTTCCAGGCCCAACACTTCCATTTAGAAACGATTCACTGCACGTAAAAGATCGCGCATTTTTCGAAGTCTTAAATTTTATTTTAAAAGACAGAAAATGGTTCGATGGCTACCTCTAGAATCAAATCCAGATGTAAGGTTAAACCTTGTACTTTTATTCGATTTCAAGTCATTTTTGTTGCAGCACATTGTGAGTTGTCTTTTTTGTTCTCTTTATTCCTCTTGAACTGTCCCTGCGATCCTGCTAAGGTCATGAACAAGGTAAGCCTGTGTTTAAGGAACTATTTTTGCAGCTGTTATGATTCATCCGTTTGGGAATCAAGTTGTGTTGAAATGATAAGATCTTGACTGCTTATCATTAATAAACTCGAATCCTCTAGCTTTAATTTTGAACTACTGTAGCCTTGGGTGTTGTTATTCTACGAAAATCACTAAAATTTCAGTTTCCAAGAAAAATTCTTGCTCTACTTTGTAGAATGTAACTAGATTTACTTTTCTGATCTTTTAAAATGATTGGCCAGGTTAAAATTAAAATTTTGAATGTATTTTTGTTGGCATGTAGCCTCTTACGGTGTGAATGATACTCAGCTAGCACAGAATGTCAACTACAAGCGAAACAGGAAGTGCCTGCCTCTAGTCATTGGTCACTATTCTAATACCAATATTCACATTATTATGTTTGAGGCAAAATTTTCGGGGGTACCTCTGATAAAATCAGACATTTCCGCAAATATTTCAGTGATAATTGTGCTGGATTTGATTTAATCCAGTCACTTGTTCTCAGATGTTTAAAGACATTAAGGGTTTCTCACTGGGACCACATAATTTTGTGCCGGTCAACTGATGTCATCACCTGTTATCTAGAACCTTCTGCTTTTTTATTTCATTTTCCATCACAGTTTGTCAACAATCTTGGTCTGAAGCCAAGTTGGAGTTTTGTTGATGTCTTTGGCCTGGACCCTGAATTACTGGCAATAATACCACAGCCAGCTTGTGCGCTTTTGCTTCTCTTTCCAACAAGTGACAAGGTACTGTTTCACTTTTCAGTTTAACAAAACAACAACAATTTTGCATGGTTCGTTCTATTATCATCTATAGAAATGTCTGTCCAAATGTGCAAAACACAAGTGAAACCACAAGGCAAATGGTTTCACTGAGTAGTTTTTAATCATTAGCATCATTTCTATGGTTGATAAGATCACAGACCACGGAAAAATGTTGTTGATTTATTTGTTTGTTTTTGCGTGTACGAAAGAGGAAACCAATTTGCATCACCACCACTTCCTTTCCATTGCCTGTACTCTCACTGAACATAGCTCACAATCTTATGCCATGGACTAGTTAGGAAAAATCTGTTGCCACCACTGGTCCTCTTTCCATGATAAGTGTAGTTAACTTGTCAAGTTTAATAAATGATATGTCCTAGGCAGATAACGAAGATATAGGTCCACAAAGTTGGGACAATTTACAGACAAAAATAGGTTGAGTTTGATCATCCGCGTGAACGTAGTCCTGAATAGGACTGTTGTCGTTGACAGTGACTGAAGTTTCGACAACCTGTGCGGTAGTCATCTTCAGAGTCAAAGTGAGTTGTATCACATCATTTGATGATATTATATTCTGGTTATTGATCTGATTGGTCAATTACGTTGCGATGTTATTGGTCGTCTGTCAGTTAAGCCGTGATGTTATTGGCTATGAAGACTTGTAATCAGTAATATTGGTGCGTTTCAATCCGTCTATTGTCACAGTTAAACAGTCGTCTATGGTTAGTCAAATTGTCAGTTCTCCAGTCGTTCTCTCGTAGTTAGTTTTGCTTGATCACGTCAATAAGTCGTTTGTACAATTTACAGACATTTGTATAGTGGGGGGCAAGTTTGTGCTCCCTACCATACAAATGTCTGTAAAATTGTGCAACTTTGAGGTCAGCTATACCTTTGTTAGTTTTCAACAAATCACCTTCAGACTTGGCAATTTTAGTCATTTTAAGGTGTTCTTTCTCGTGGTGGCAATGGATTCCATGTCAAAAGTTTGAAAACACCATAGAAAGGTCTATTACAGAGCCCCTGGAAAATGTCCCTTTAATAGCCCCCTACCCTTTGAGGGGTGACTGCTGACCAGCATCAGTTCAAGTGTGGCCTTGCCTTCATTACATTAAGCCACATTTTAAGAAAGATAATGATTGCCGTATTGTTTTCTTTGTTGTGTTGAGTGAAGAGTAGCTATGGGGTCAATCAAAAACACTCCCTTATAATATTTTTAAAAAGTGTTTTTACTTGTTATTTGTTTTATTAATATTTTTGGTTTGCAGTATCAGGAATTCAAGAAAGAACAAGAAGACAAAGTTTTGAAGAATGGACAGGTAGTATTTTAATAATAAAATTACTTTTAGAGTGGTTGTGATATTGTTATCCATTTCTATGACAACAGTAACTATCTTCATAGAGCCTTTTAAACCTTTAAAGGGTTGGCATAATTTGTCTACAGAAGTTATGCAAGGAGTTATAAAGAAAAGTTGAGCAAAATTAATTAGTATTATTATTTATTCAAAATATTTCCCCGATTCTGATTGGCTAAAAGCACACATTGAATTCACCATAACCAGTTACTGATGACCAAATTTGGAAGAATTTTGTTTTTAATGAGAAAATGACGTCAAAAATGTAGCGTTCGTGCAGGTTAAGGCACCGTTAACCGAGAAGACCTGGGGACTAGGTTGAGTTGTTTTGGTTGTGGAAACAAAATGGCAGTCATTTCACTCGTTTCAAGAGTAAGAACTAGGTGCAAAAATTGCTAAAAACATGGCAAGAACAGCAAGAAGACTACTCAAAGGGCGACATCTGCTATTTGGAGAATATTTGCAGAGCTGGACAAACTGAAATGTGCACTATCGAAAATGAACTTAACATTGATGGATCAATGGAGGTAAGCATGTTTTAGCCATGTTTTTAAACTAGGAATTATTTTGAATGAATAATAAAACAGTTTTAATATTGAATTCGGCTTTCGTATCATATGAAGAATTATGGAGATCGAGGAGGGTGTTATCCATTGAGGCCGTAGGCCAAGGCGGATAACACTCTCCGAGATCTCCAAAATTTTTCATAAGATACTCAGCCTCATTCAATAATTGTTAATTAGTGTCCCATACTGATGTGCAAGAGGGAAACGTGTTGAGTTATGCAGAAAAATCATTCAATCATTATTCAAGTGTTTTTAAAAAAGTGTGGCCATGACATTGATCATTGTTGCCTTTAGGAAGTGAGTCCCAATGTATACTTTATGAAGCAGACTATAGGAAATGCTTGTGGAACAGTAGCCATTATACACTCCATTGCTAACAACACAGATGTACTACAGCTTGGTAAGGATCAATTTATACCCCATGGAGAGGTACATTCATTAGGCCCTCTGACATAATTAATGTGATGGTGCAATTTTGCTCAGTCGACTTCAGGTGGCACCCAGTTGCATAATCAACAACAAAATATCATTATAAATTTAAAGATAAAATGCATAAAAAAGTAGACCAAATTTTACTGTTGACTTTTCTGTGTTACAACAAAGGAAAAAGGAGGTGTTTGTACACAAGCTAATTTGAAGGCTGTAAAAAAGGTGGAGATGCTCTGGTTTTGTGATTTATTCATATATTAAAGACAGTCCATTTACAGTAGTTAAAAGAGATGCAAAGTTCTATCTACATATGTGAAGGGGATACCATTTGTCAATCAAAGATATACAAGAGGGGTACCTTTTCTGTCCAAAATGGTTTTAATAATAAAGGGGTAAGGGCACCCTTGTCCCCAGGGCACTTTTCCCTGGCTTTGGAGGTTGGGTTAAGGGGTTAAGCCTTGGGACAGAGCCTCCCTGTATGAAACTTTATTTAGTATCATGTAGTGGCGCATCCAGACCTTCAGATAAGCGGGGGTGGAGGTCATCCAGACCCTGAGATAAGGGTGGGGGGGGGACAGTCTCAAAAAAATTTTAGGCACTTTGGGCCTCAGTTTGGTCTAAAAATAAGGGAGTCGGGCCCCCAGGCCCCTCCCTTGGATCCACCACTTTTGTGCCCCACTTCTGGGATCTTACCCTATGTGATGTTGAGTGTAATGATTTCTTTTATCCTACATAATCTAATAGAGGAAGGCTTTCTCAAGGGCTTTATAGAATCTACCAAATCATTGTCACCTGAAGAAAAAGGAGCAAAGCTGGAGAGTGACGAGGTTGAAACAAAATTTTATGCTTTGTCTTTTTAACTATAATTTTTTTTATATAAAAATGGAAAGTGCACTTAGCTTATCCAGCTAGTTTAGAGGCACTCCACTCAAATACTTAGAAACAAATAATTCAAATAATATTATAACATAACAGGATTAAACACCCCAACTGGCAAGAGGCAACCAGTTGGCTATTTACAAGCATGGCCGAGGATCTGAACTCAGGACGACTGAGAACAAATCCAGCAAGTGGCCAGTGCGGGACTTGAACCTGAGACCGCTGGATTGTGAGTCCAATGCACTGATCACTCGGCCAAGCTGCCTCCTTGCGTCCTTGTGATAAAAGATGAAAGGCGCTCTTTTGAGGCGCTTCAACGGATTTTTGCCAACTGAGTCCTGCAGGGTCTATCATTTTATCACTTAATTATTACTCAATTTCAACCTTTTCTTTTCTCCTAGAACATAAGTGAGGCACACGAAGCCTGTGCACAAGAAGGACAAACAGAGGTAAAACTTTCAACTATAATACGTAGGATCAAATTGATACTGAAATCCCAAATGATCATAAAGAGAATCCAATCCGAGCAGAACTGTTGCTACAAAGGTACCTCCTCAAACAGCCCCTTTAGGGGTCCAACCGGTGGGGCGAGGGGGGGCGGGGGGTACGCAGGGGCGTAGCTACACTTTTTTTAGGGTACACATCTTTAACGGGCATTGATCCTTTAGAAATTTTGAAAACACAATACTGGGAAATGCTCATGTGCAGCCCTACCATTCGAGTACAATGCCCATTCCTTTCGCACAGTGGTTGATAACGCTTTTCTTGTTTAACTCGCGTACTGGTTGCTAGTGTATGCAACGGCCACAAAACTTTCCCCAACCACCAGCCCATATATTTATAGAGATTGAAACCTTAACGTTATGTGATGGGACCCTTTGGACCACAATGGCAATGACCAGAGGTACTTACTATTTACATGGGAAAACCGGTAATTCCGGTAGGAAGTTCTGTGTCGGACACTAAGGACAACATGGGCTGTGATTTGAGACAATGTAATTTTTCTACTCTTTTTAGCCTGATCAGCTGATTTGGATATACTTTGCAGCGTGTCGTTCTCCCACCACGTCAATTTTTATAGTTTTATGTTTAAATACACAACATTTCCACCCAGGTAGATTGTGTAAATGGTAAGCACCATAGTAGCCATCGTGCTTGCCTACCGTCCAATTTCCCCCAACCGTGCTACATAAGATTAACACTTCGTTCAACGTTTTTCTCGGCTGTTGTGTTGAACTCGGTGCAACTCTGGCTGAATAAAACACATTACAATGCTCTCAGAGAAAATTTCAGTGTGTAAGTCAGACTAATAGGGACCTCGGAAACTTTTTTTCGCAAACGCAGCGATACAAAAATCAGTGGGTGTCTTTCGGCCCTTGTCTAACTAAGCTAACCGGTGCAGTCAACAGTAGTTATTGGGCATAGCAATATGACCTTGCTTGTAACATAAAACTATAAGAAAAGGTTATAGCTCTGTATTCATTCGGGAATGTCTTTTTTTCAGACGCCGTCTGCTGAGGACCATGTGGATCTCCATTTTGTTGCCATCGTTCACAAAGATGGAAGCTTGTATGAACTAGGTAAGCGCTCTTGAACCTTTTAAGCGTAACCCAGTGTATCCTACAAAGTGAGCTTATAATCCATGTCACCCCTAGGCTTATCATTGAGTTTATAAGAGGTTGGAGCCGGATGAAGAAAGGGAAAGGTATTTGGGAAAGGGCCTTAATAAACGAGACTCAGTGGCGTTTCGAAATGAGCGCGTTAAAGATAAATTATGTATAGCCATGGATCCGAGTTTTTTCTCCATTTAGTAATTTCTTAAGTTTAGTCGCCAAACATCAAAAAATTGTGTTAATGCCGGTATGTGATGTTCCAGAAATACAGTAGAATTCTTTATGTCTTAAGAATTATTGTTCGGCCCTCTCCTTGCGTCATACTTTCAAAAACTTACTTTTACATACTTTTTAAAGGCTTTTATCTTACTGGTACACAAGGAGGAATGGAGGGAGGTTATGTCTTTATTATCGCTGCTCCGTAACCGGATAGAGTTTTTAGTGCTCTCTGCGTTATTTTGAAGTGATATCTCGGGTTCATTTCAGCTTAGGGAGGCTGCTATGATTCTGGTTTCTTATGAACCGTACTTCCTCGGTCCTATATGCCCTCAAAAACCTTTTATTTAACAACCCATTCCACAGATCTTCAGTGTTCTTTTCGAGACTTTTTTTAAAAGATCATCATAGATTTATAATTAGGAAATTTAAATTAACGTAAAAGCAAAGACTTTAAATGAATGTTCTCTTTTAGATGGAACAAAAGCATTTCCAATAAATCATGGAAAAACTACAAAAGATACATTCTTGCAGGCAAGTATCAACTCAAAATAACTTTGTCGTGTTTGTTTTAGATGGGAGAAAATCATTTCCTATCAATCATGGAAAAACTTCGAAAGATACATTTTTGAAGGCAAGTGGTTTTAGTGGTAGAAACAACTCAGTGTTTTCAGTAACGACAATGAATAGGCGAGAATACCAAGTCTTTACTCCTGGTATTTGTGGAAAGAAGGCAATTTTTATCTTTTGAAGTCTCCTACACAATCTTTGTCACGATGACGTAGACGATGAGAAAGTGAATACCCTGGGAATCAATGAGGTTGGCTATAAATAAACTTGAAGCGTGTGTAGCCGGTATAAAGGGCGGGAAAACTTGAGCGACAGTGAGACTGGAGTAAAAGCTCATTGGTTGAGAGAGTGACATGTTTTTTTTTAACCAATAACATTACGTATAAAACCAAAACAAAAGCAATTAATATTGCGATAAGAACAGTCTGAGAACGATTAAAAGTTACAGTGCCAATCTTGTCACGAGGGAATTCCATCCGATTCTTTCCTGAATTAGACACTGGTCGGACGCTCAAATCCCTTTAGCCTTGGGGAGACTCGTGGAAAGCTGGGCCATTTGCTAGGGGATATGTCACGAGGGTAATGCGGTTTGAGGTCAATTCTGTGCTGAAGTCGTCGCTGAAGTCATTGCTTAGTGCCTTCACTCATAAACAATCAAATTTCGTTAGGGAGAACTAATGCACATATCAAATGAGTTTAATAGTCGGGTAATGTAAGTTTGCTTGTTCGATAAAGGCTTCGATAACTGGTTTACTTATGTCCCTAGGGCAAAATTATCGTCTATGTGGCGTCTCCAAATTATTGGGTTAAAGACGGTTTTGCTTAGAATTGCTGTTTCAATATGTGCCGTGAAAAAGGTGGCAAAGGAAACTGCTGTCCATGTGCCCATGGCAGTACCATGGGTTTGTGCTTTCCATTGAACTGGAAATAATTTTCTTTGAGTATTAATCTAAGCTTTTGCCGCAGGTTAGTGTGTAGGAAAAGGTGGGTTGTCTGCTAAAGAACTTACGGTGAGGAAACTAGGCACGAGTCAAATCCCCACCTCCCCCACTTCGACGAATGTGCAAAGCAACAAAGTGATTTACATGGCACGTCATTTCAATCATCGCCGAAAATGAACCGCATGCTCATCACAAGACGCCATTTGCATACAATGAAAGTGTACAACGCCCGACCATCGCAGTTTGCTTAAGATTCTTTGTTTTTTTTTTCGACCACTCAGTAGTGTTCACTTGTTCCAAAGTAATCAACGCTTTCAAGCGATAGAATTCGTGGACTGACACGTTTCGGAACGGCTCAAAATTTAATCTTTTCTAAGCTTTCTTCAAACCATGCGTGGCTTCGATCACGCAAAGATTCTTAGTCCCGGTTTCCATGGTCTCCGCAAGGAACGCCTGGCGCAATGACTCCCCATTTGTGAACAAGATACGACGAAAAATGCGTTGCAGATTATGAGTCTCGCTGCTCACGCAATACCCTGGGTGCCAGAGACTTTTCTAGCGCGGTTTCCGGTTCTGTCAAGCCTTTTTCTCGCGGCTTCGCGGCTGGTGGCTTCGGCCTTCGGCCAACACCGAAAATTCCCGCCGCGCGCGAGAAAAACCTCTGGTCCCCAGGGTACTTACGCAAGCGAGACTAACAATTCAAATGTGGTAGCGTCAAAGCATATTTAAAGGGAAAGACGTTACTTCCGGTTGACGTCCGTCGGTCAAAAACTTCGGACTGGTTCACGATAATGCGCATGTGTGAGTTCTGACAGTAGCAGATTGTTTTTAAACCGATCGGAAGCGAGTTAGATGCACGCAAGTAAATTTACATTCAAATTCATTGTTCGCGACGCGAGAGTAATTCCGGGCATTTGGTTTGATTTCATATATCCCCATAATTCAAGTTTATTCTTTGCTACTGCTCAGATATATGTTGCAGCCGATAAGAGTAAGATTTACAGCCCTGTCCTGCTTTGAAACAAACATAATAAAACGCGTGATCACTTGTTACTTTCAGGATGCTGCCGACGTGTGTAAGGAATACATGAAAAGAGATCCAAGCACACTTAACTTTACAGTGGTCGCTCTCTCTCGTACGCAATAAGAATGATGGGGTCAAAAAACCTCTCCTTCCTAGATGAGCGTCCGGATTTTGTTTTTTTTTTTACAAAGAAAACTAAATTAAAATAAATTATGATGATATTCTTTAAATTATAGTAGTTTTCCCTCACCAAAATGCATTAGAATAAACTTTTGGTTTGCACAATACCTGTGAATTAAAAACTGTTGAAGTTATGTCATCAACTGTAGTTCGCGTGTTGTTGTTGGGAACTGAAAGGCGCGGTTAGTGATGGGTATATTTTGTTCGTGCCTCGAAATAAAGCCGCGTTTACAAGAGCACTCTTGGGTGCGGCCGAGGTGGATAACACCCTCTTAGATCAGTATATTTCTTCATACCATACGAAAGCCGAATTCAATAACTGTTTTCATTGTTCATTTAAAATATTTCCAAGTTCTTAACATCCTTATCTCCTCATAGACTTTCTTCAAAACATTTGACTGTTCCTCGGCAGTTTCCTAAGATAGAACATTTTTTTCCTTTAAATATTCGTCAAAAAGTAGTTGAGATTCATCGAGTAATAGATATGCGTGTAAGCGTCTTGAAAACCCTTTAATTTCCTAGGGGTCCGATAGCTTGCCAGGCAACGTTTTTCGATCCAGTTATCGGCGAAAGTTGGAGCGAGGACAAAAAAAAATTGATGGGGCGGGAAAGTGGGGGAGGGGGGTGTCTGGCACCCTTAACCCTCTTACTTCTCTCCTGGGTAAGTCACTGTAATGAATTATCCACGACTGTAACCATGTTAAGAAAAAAAAAACACATTTTCTCTTAGAAATAGGCATGTGATATTCTCTTTTGGATAAAATTATTATTGACACCAACTGATAGCATATTTAGATAATCTCCTGAACTGTGACTTATGTTTTTACAATTAAACTGAATTTCATTTGTAAAAATTATAAATTTATGCCCATTCCCTTCTTCATGGTGATTCTAAAGATGAATATGTGGATAAAAAATCTTAAAAGCATGCAATGCTTATCATTTTCTTCTGATACTGTTCACTGATTATCTCCACATGTGTCCAGGATTGAGCACCATTTAAAATTTAACGATCTTAAAAAAGCTATCGAAAGATCGCACCTTATCTTTTAGCCCACCTTACATTTACTTAATTTCGCCAAAAAAAAAGAAGAGAAAGATTTTGTGAGACTGTTAACTAGCAGAACATCGTGTTAAAGGAATGCCCCATAATGCACTCTGTTTTCGAGTTCTCTCAAGCCTCGGTTTTAATGCGAGGCTTAGTGCAAAGCCACTGATATGTTTTTCCATTCTGATGACAATAAAACTACATTTCACAAGGAAGGTTTTGCATTTGGCCTCGATTTGAAAGTGAGAGCTTTTAGAACTTGGAAATAACCTATTCGGGAAGTTACTGTCGTTATATGCTCTTAAGAAAAAGCAACTCTCCCTGGAGTATTTCAAAACATGCAAAATAGGGCGCAAACAGAGTGTATTACAGGGGATTGGAGACTAGAATATAAGGTCGACGCCTCCCTAAAACGGACTGATAGAGTTGGTCCCTTACATTGTCCAGTCGCTGTTGACAGTATTATAACATCCTCATAAGAAGTACTTTCATGTAGTGTTGTATGATAGGAACCTTACGATCCCACAATGGCGACCTCAATGGAAACTCGACTTTGTGCTCTTTCAAACCGTTTCCCAATCTTTTCAACTCGTTCACTTGATTAAAATTAAGCACATGCCCAGATAGATCAGTGTAGTAACATTTAGAGCCTTTCCGTTCACGTTTTCAAGAAGAAAATTTAACATTTAGTCATTTCAAGTCGTAGTTGTCTAGGGACGGTCAAGCAACAACACAAAAGCACTTTTGGCCGTATTCACACTACAAACGGATTATCCGTTTGATAATTCGCGTCATACAGATAATACCTCTTAATTTGAAAATTGAACGGTCTTAATTTTAAATGGACAATCCGCCTGACTTTATCTATCCGTTCTCCGTCAATTTGGACGGATTTTGAAGATGGATTATCCGTCTCTAGTGTGCACCATTCAGGTGCAGACATGTTGTTTTGCGAATTTATGACATTTCGGTTTCTGTCGCCATCGTGGTTTTGTTGGGTTCCTTATAACTTTAACTCATTGGCTGTAATCCTTGATTATGGCTACGTAACTGAATTATAGTACTTTTCTCAAGTTCAATTCTTTGGGAGTATTGTAATAATATGTTTTAGGAGGCAAAAGTGAACGTTGACATGACTTACGTCTCTGATCTGGTGATAATTCCCTACTAGCATCACTTTTAAAAACACTCTTCGTCCCAATAAGTGAGTTAATAGTCGTACACGCAGCGCAAGACTCTGCCTTTTGGCAAGCCACTGTGTTTGTTAACAGGCTGAAACAGGCTCGTTGCATGCAGTTCGCAGTCACATGACTTGGGGTATTTTTTCTGTTATTCAAACCACCATAAAAACGCACTGTTAAGTGTTTAAAACCTAAAGAAAAGCAGACCCACTTTTTGTTTTATGCCCTCTCAATCTCTGGAGTTTTTAGGACTGTAACCCATAATTTTTGCATGACAATGTGGGATGGGTGACGTGAACCCGAGCTGTAAAGAGCTTTTTGAAATACGTCAGTACTATCTGCCAGTAACTCCTACTTCGTCAACACTGCAATGTTCACAAACGCAGTGCCCGCCAAAACATATATTCGTGCGCATTGTGCATGTCAAAGGGTTCGAACAGATTTTTGAATGCAAAATGTTATCAAATAAGCGATCGACAGAAATCTCCACAAAAGCAGGAACTAGGCTTTTCCCATGATGCAGTAACCATAATCAGAAGCATAGCCACAATGCAATGCGGATATAAGAGAGTTCTGAAACTTCTCATTCTGAGATCGAATGTTTTGGCTACAGACGAGATTAAAACCGGAAAAAATTCACTTAGCAATTAACTTGTTACGGTTTTGAAAGAAACAAACACACTATTTACCACTTTTTCCACACTAAATCTATATTTCCCAGACTTTTTCAAGGTCTGGAAAACTGGTTTGCAAATTTCAAAACTTTCAATACCCTGTGGGAACCCTGGCGCGATTACAAATCTCTGT